TCAGCATAAATGACTCATGCATTGTCCCAAACCGACTCCTCTTCCTGGTTCAGGGAAAAGCCCAAACCAAAATATGCTGCATTATTTCAGTAGTTTTCAAAAACTGCATTAAGTGTCATTTGTTTCTGGTCTGTTATATAATGTGTCTGAACTTTGAAGCAGAACCTCGCTGATCCACTCTTGCATGAAAAATGCCATTTCTATGACATCTTAAGTGATGTAATGCGATTTCTTGCCACAGTTCCAAGTTGAATAACAGCTTCTCAGGTCTGTTTCTGCTTTTTGTTTTAAACTTCCTTTAAAAAGGGGTTAAGACACAAAGTGCAACTCTTCACTGATGTTTGCAAAAATGTTGAAATGTGAACATTTCTGCCAAGAAGAAGACAACCTGGGCCTCGGGTCAGATGCTAACATGTCCTTTGGAATTAGATGAAATAACCCCTTCATGCAGAGCTGCTTTTATCAACTTTATCAGCAACGGTTAAGGAAGTTTGTATTGCTGCTGGTTGTAAGACATGCAGAAAGAGTTCCAGCTTTATGGGTTTAGACAGTAAATGGCTGTGAGGTTTGTCCCCCATAGCTTAACCAGGAAACATTAATCAAAGTATATGGTAATGGTTTTTAAACGATAACAGTAATGCAGTTAAACATCAGTTGGCCAATCTTTATCAACATAAAGCTCATAGCCAATGTTCAGAAATCAGTATTACCCACAGACAAACCATACAACAAAAACTTTTATCAGTAAGGAAACCATATGGCCGTATTTATGCAGATACATTAATCTGTGTTATACTGAATAAAATGATCTTGAGACAAATTGGCAACTGTAAAACCGGAGTAATAAAGTTAATGAAAGTCTGAACTGTAATTTCCAGTAGTTAGAAATGCAAAAACCAAATTCACCAAAATATGTTTTACAGAGAATCAAATTTTTTGAGTAGGTAGTAAATCAAAATGTTACTATATTAAGCTTTAGATACTTTTAGACCATTCTTTCAACTTGAGCATTTCTGTTTATCTTTTGCCATAGAAATTACTGGGAAAAAATTTCTGGGATTAATTTGGATATTTTTTCTGTCATTTCAATTGAACTTCGCAAGCCGTATACTTTGCATTGTCTAATTTTTTTCTACCAAAAGCGAACAATAGTCAGAAAAATACAGTATCTTAATCGTGAGGCTCATTTAACAGATTAAACTTCCATCCATCAATTTTCAGACACGCTTAAAGGAATAGTACACCCAAAACATGATTAGCCTTCATTTTCTACTCACCCCCATGCTGAACAACACTCTGGAGTACTTTTTTGATATCTCAAATGCATCTGGAGATCTGGGAGGCTTCTTGCTGTCTGCTGACATTCAAATAATGGAGGTCTATGGTGACCGAGACAGAAAGGTCCATAAAAGTCCACAAAAAACGTGTCAATATTCCTCCATACTGCTCGTCCAATGTATTCCAAGTGTCCTGAGTGGGTAGCATCCAGAATTTACTCGAAACGAAGTCATTTAGAATGTTTTTAGAGCATAAACAGTAGTGTATAGGATTTCCTGAAAGCGCGCACACGCGCGCTCACGACGCTACGGAAGCCGGCAGACCAAACCAGCGCATTCAGCTCGGCAAAGAACTCATGCTCTTCCTCAACACTGAAGTCCTCAGATATTTTTCTTTCGTTGTTTCTTTCTTTGCACCGGTAAACAGCACATTTCTTCTTCTATGCTTGCATTATTGGAAGATCAGACGCTGAATGCGCACTTTCATCTGGTTTGATCTGCCGGCTTCCGTAGCGTCGTGAGCGCGCGTGTGCGCGCTTTCAGGAAATCCTATACACTACTGTTTATGCTCTAAAAACATTCTAAATGACTTCGTTTCGAGTAAATTCTGGATGCTACCCACTCAGGACACTTGGAATACATTGGACGAGCAGTATGGAGGAATATTGACACGTTTTTTGTGGACTTTTATGGACCTTTCTGTCTCGGGCACCATAGATCTCCATTATTTGAATGTCAGCAGACAGCAAGAAGCCTCCCAGATCTCCAGATGCATTTGAGATATCAAAAAATTACTCCAGAGTGTTGTTCAGCATAGGGGTGAGTAGAAAATGAAGGCTAATCATGTTTTGGGTGTACTATTCCTTTAATCCCAAGTGGGTACACGAGGGGTGCTGGTGCCTATCTCCAGCTGTCAATAGGTGAGAGGCGGGGTACACCCTGGACAGGTCACCAGTCCATCTCAGGGCAACACAGAGACAAACAGGACAAACAACGATTCACACACACACTCACACCTCAGGGAACTTTAGAGAAGCCAATTATCCTAACAGTCATGTTTTTGGACTGTGGGAGGAAGCCGGAGTACCCGGAGAGAACCCACGCATGCTCAGAGAGAACATGCAAACTCCATGCAGAAAGACTCAGGGCCAGGAATCGAACCCAGAACCCATAACAAAGTGCTATCCGCTGCTCCACTGAGCAGCCCCATGTTAAACTTATCTTTTTTTTTTGATTTTCACCTTTTTAAGTAGGTATTAGCCCGCAGTTCTGGATCAAAATGTTTTCATTTATTGGTCTGACTCAAAAAAATCTAACTTTAAATTATGTGTTTGACATAAGGAGAAAATCATTACAATTAAGAAAAATAAAGGCTGACAAACATCAGACATTTGTAATTAATCTATGCTACGAATCAACCTGTTTTCAATAATTTTCTATTTCGTTTAATGGGTCTGGACTTCTGGGTCCAGAATTTATTTTACCGGCCGTTGTACTTTTCTGGACAATAATTTTCAGATAGAGATACTATACCTTTTTCATCTACTTATACATTCTCTTTTTATAGCTATTACTGTTGATACAAGATGTTTTTGTTTGTCTCTTTCCTTTATAGATCCATTTAATAGTTATTAGTTTCACATGACTTAATTCATTCTTTCTTTTCGTAGACAATATTTTTTTTCCTGTGTCTTTCTTTCTGGTAAAATAAAACGACAATAGTATTGCTGTAAGTAATTTTACTCTCAGTTATGTCCACCATTAAGCTGTTTTACTCTTGTTGTTTTTACTTCTAAAAAAAAAAGTGCACCTGGTCCATTGTTAGGTTGAAGCTTTGCATCCCATTTAGAGGTAATAGTTCCTTTCTATTGTCATTAGATGCTTTATCAGTAAGAAGGACTGTTGAAACCTCAAATATCCACTGTAATTAATGAGCATTATTTAGATAACCCTTTTATTAACTACCATTAAACGACAAACCTAAAATGACTTTATTGCATGTCAGCACTGACCTTTACTTGACTTTTAGTAATACAATGAACTGGGTTGGTTTTCACATGGATTCAAGAAAAAATCAAGAATTTTGTACTTATTAAATTCATCACATTAGAATTTTAAAAGTAGTCAAAGTAGAAATCCTAACAACAGCACGAGAAGTCGGTTGTACCACTTGCCTTTGGATGACATCAAGCATTATTGATTAAGCCTCTGCTTTTCACTTGTGCTTTGTCAATTTACTTAATGGCAGGCGAGGCTTATGCACATTACTTTCTTTTGTGTTGAGCTTTGTGTCACTGTGTTATTTCAACAGCAACATAAAAAAAAGCTATTGTGTGAGCAGCAAAGGCATCCCCACCCAAAACCATACACACTTTAAGTGCATTTAGAGGAAACATTATTTTTAACTTGAATTCTCCCTCTTCCTCATTTCTGAGCTCCGACAAAGGTTAATGTTTTTCTTACCTATCCCACTGACTCACATTTACAGTAGAGACAGCCCTTGTGAAAATTCCCAACATTTTGGATTTCTGTTTAATTATTAAATGCTAAAAAATATAAGCTCTATTTTCAAATATTAGAATTTCATTTTTACTTGGATTTTTATTATCATCTAAAAAGGTGTTTCTGCTTTCTAATTTATTTGATATATTATGTTGTTATTCTTCTAAAAGCTACCACCTACAGTAAGATCAGGACAGAAACAAAAACTTTTCTCCAAAAACTATCATACTTTCTTAGTTACTGAGGTATGAATCCAGGTATAACAAATGGCTAATCAGAGAAGAATGGCATACCTATTATAAAATACATACAATCAAGTATGTTAGATTCAACTTTTTGGCTAAAAACACAAGATGAGATGTTGGTGTATTGGTGCTCGCAGCAGCTGTGGTTGTCAGAGAAAAGGTCAACAGGCGAGCTAATATATGAAAAGTTTGTAAAAGTAATTCATTTTGTTCATTTATAAATACTAAATTATAACTGACATACAAGCAAATTCTCTAAACTTTGAGGAAGTTGTTGAGAAGAAATTGTAGATCTTAACTGTACTTACCACCTTGTTATAATAGATTTTAATGTTTATTAGAGCAACAACACTGTGAGCAAAATTTTCCTGATACTTTGTAAGAAATTAACAAATTTATTAAAGTAAGCTCACCTGACCGTTTACATTTTTTTTTTAATGGATGAAATCTGACAAACATTTTTCAGTCATTTTTTATTTTTTATTTATTATGTTTAACTGTAAGGATTTCCTCACAAAAATATTTGATAAAATCTATCCCAAATAAAATGTATGCAAATTGTAGTCAAATGTAAAATTCAGTGTATTTTATTAGTGCACCACTCTTTTCTCCATGCATTGGTGAAAAGCTTGTCTTTACATTTTCTAACATAAATCCGGCAACTTAAAAACAAATACATCCATATCTATCTATGCCTATTAATTTTATATCAAAGAAAAAACGCATTTCTATTCTCTGTTTCCATAAAAAAACCTATGATGGTACATTTTTATTTAATGTTTTAAATTATATATCTCTAGATCTTAAGGTTTTCATGTTTTTTGTGGCTCTATTTGACCAATCCTTCCAATGACACCTGTGCTATTGTTTATAGGTTTCCACAACAGATCATTGTTCCTATCAGTTTACAAGAAGCTGTAAGTGATTAGATAAAAATGAAGTTTCCTGCAGTGCATTGATAAGGAAGAAGGAAATGCTTTTCCTCACAGTAAAGCATCAGCTTCTTATCCCCGCAAAGGGGCGGGCCTTTGGTCAATCACTGAATATAAGGAGGACCATGACAATAAGGAAAGCATCACTACCTCCAGATCTCAAAGAGCATCTTAACACACCAAAGAAGCCTTTCCAGACGCAGGTAGAAAGATTTACTTTCATCCATGGAGTAAATGCTTATGTTCTTCTCTGTGTTTTTAAAACATTATTTGTTGTATGTTGTGTTTCAGAGATGCTTCTCTCCGTCCTTCTTATCCTGGGCCTCAGCCTGGTGCCCAGCTACTCCAAACCAACAGGTCTCCCTCTCCTAAACACTGTTTTACACTTTTGTTTCTCTTTTTAATAAATTAAATTAATTTTATTTTACTTTATTATTCTTTTTCTAGTGGAAGGACTTGGAAGTCCTTTTCTTCAGCAATGCTTTAAAGAAGCAAAGAAAATAGTGGATGATGCCTACAAATACTCCAGAGAAGAGTAAGTTCAACATGCTCTCTTATCTGGAGGGATTGCAGTTTTTCCAATGTGTCTCAATTGCACAGCTCAGAAATTGTTGTTACACAAAGAGATATTTCCATTCTATCGCTACAGGAGTCTCAGACGGGTCCGTAAGGAAGTGGTGCGGCCGCATGATGCTCTTCGTCTCTTGAAGCAGCCCCGGGGTGACACTCGTTCAGCTGTGCGCTCTGCTGACTACATGGAACAGACTCTCCGTTTGGTCCAGGAAAAAGCACATCGTGTGCACAAGCGCTCCCTGAATGCAACAGGTAAGGAGTTATTGCTGAGTTTTTCCTTTTCTGGTTAAGAGTATGGTATCAACACATTAAAAAAGAAAACATCTGAATACATGGATCCTTCATTTTTCAGATTTGCTCACAGAAGAAGATTTGAAAGAACTTGCAAGGATAACTGGATGTGAGGCCCGAATCAGGAATCCTCCATGTCATACCACCCCAAATATCAACAAGTACCGTACAGCCACCAGTGTCTGCAACAACCTGTAAGCTTTAACCACGAAGATGTGCTTTGATCTAAAACATCTATTTTGCATTATTAGTAGATCAGCTGTCTTAATTACTTCCCCTTGGGAAATAATTTTGCAAGGCATAGTTTTGACTTTCTTGGAATGCTAAACTAAAAGTATCTTCTAGAGAAGTGATTGTGAAACTTACAGAAAGATCTTGGGCCATGCACCGCAAAATATGTCTTCACTTCTGTTTGATTTCAAAACAACCATTTCTAAACCTGACCCTTCCATATCTGTTTTGCAGAAAAAACCCTCGCCTTGGAGCGGCCAACACCCCATTTACCCGCTGGCTGCCTTCTGAGTACGACGACGGCATCTCTCAACCCAAAGGATGGGACAGAAACCGCAAATTCAACAACTTCTTGCTCCCTCTGGTACAGGCTTAATTTCAAATCTCTTGACCCATATACACAACCCTTTTCTTTAGGTTTTAATATTTTGCTCTGGACTTTCAGGTACGACAGGTGTCCAACAACATCCTGAGTACCACAGACGCAGGCGTCGTCAATGACACTGAGTACAGTCACATGGTGACCTTGTTTGGCCAGTGGAATGACCATGATCTCACTTTTACACCATTCTCGCCTAGTATCCGCTCCTTTAGCAATGGTCTGAACTGTGATGAGAGTTGTGAGCAGAGTGAGCCATGCACCCCTATCCCGGTTGGTATCAAAATTCAAACCAAATTCTTTTTAAACCTTGTATTCTTTTGCTGAAAACTCATCCTTTTCATATTACCAGATCCCCAAAGGAGACCCCCGTATTCCTGATGGCCCAAACAACTGCATTCCAGCCTTTAGATCCGCCCCTGCCTGTGGAACAGGTTACTCTGCCTATAATTTTGGTGGAGAGCCCAGCAAGAGGGAGCAGATCAACTCCCTAACAGCCTTTCTTGATCTGGGGCAAGTGTATGGCTCAGATGAGAAGCTTGCCCTGAACCTTCGCAACCTCACCAGCGATGATGGCCTGATGCGAGTCAACACCGAATTCAGAGACAACGGCCGTGAGCTCCTGCCCTTCCACTCCATGCAGGTGCAAATGTGCGCCACTCGCAGAAAAATCACCAATGATACCAACGCCAGGGAGGTCCCCTGCTTTATCGCAGGTTTGTGAGATTTTTAAAAGAATTCAAATAAGAATTAAAATTAAATAATCTGGACAGTTAATAGAAAAAATCTGCTTAATACTGCACAGATTTAAAACACAAAACTTTTAAAAATCATTTTACTCATTTGGTATATCTAGATAGGGTAAAAAAATACATAAATCTGAATCAGCAGTTAATATATTAAAAAATTATCAATCGTATATAAATTATAAAAAAAAAAAAAAGTGGAATTTGAATTGTTTTTACATCCACAAAAAAATAATAAGAAAGACCTTTGGGTTTAAGAAATACAGCCTGGATGCACTTTAGCATTTTTTGTTGATTTTTCCCATTAAAAAAATCAATCAAACATCATATAACATTTCTAAGCTCTTAATAGCCTGCAACTAAATTCACAATATACTTTATTGGGAAACATAACAGTTTCTTATTTGATATTTTAAAAAGCCTTATTAATAAATGCTATTTATTCCTGTATCTGAATAATATCTTTATAGCAGTAAATAAGCTATTGTTTCATTCCGGTGCAGGTGATGGCCGTGTGGACGAGAACATTGCCCTGACATCCCTTCACACCCTGTTCATGCGTGAACACAACCGTTTGGCCCGTCAGCTGAAACGGCTCAACCCACACTGGGACAGTGAGACACTCTACCAAGAGGCCCGCAAGATAACGGGTGCTTACACCCAGGTAAACCAACCACAAGAATCATTGAGGATCCCCATTTTTCCAGAAGCTGTTATTGTGTGCTCATCTGCTTTATCTTGTGTGTCAGATGTTTGTCTTCAGGGACTATCTGCCTCACATTGTTGGTCCAGACGCAATGCGCAATCAGCTGGGACGTTACCCTGGCTACAACCCTAATGTGGACCCCAGCATCGCTAATGTTTTTGCGACAGCAGCTTACCGTTTTGCTCACCTGGCAATCCAGCCAGTTTTGTTCCGACTGGACACTAACTACAGAGAGCATCCTCGCTTCCCCAGTGTCCCCCTGTATGAGGCTTTCTTCACCCCATGGAGAGTCATCTTTGAGGGTGAGCAGCACAGAGATAATTCAAGCAATCCTGTTATTGAGTTTTTATGATAAAACCTACATTTTTCTTAACTCTCTCCAGGTGGAGTCGACCCTTTGCTGCGCGGTCTGATGGGCCGTCCTGCTAAACTGAACACCCAGGATCACATGATGGTGGATGCTCTCAGGGAGAGGTTGTTCCAGTTTGTCATGCACCTGGCTTTGGATCTGGGTTCTCTGAACATGCAGAGGAGTCGTGATCATGGCCTGCCTGGTACGTGATGTTTTTATTTTACCTGGTAGTGGGGAAGCTGAAGCCAGATATCCACGTTCTAACTCATCAAACCTTGCAAGGAAATTAGCTAGACTCATCAATCCTCCAGTGAACTTCAGAAACCTTTGGATAAAATGATTTAAAGTAAATGACATAGATGTGATGGATTGTTGAGTTAATGTTTTAAGCTTTCTAGGGAAGTATAACCTCTAAATATGCACATAAACCGCAGCTTGATGCTACTTCAACAATGTCATTAATTACTATACAGCACCTTAGTTAAAAAAATGTGTTTTATAAATCAAAACATATATATTTTTATTAATTTATACAAAAATTAAGATCTGTTTTAAATTACCTTTTATTTATTTTTTTTTTATTTTTGGGCTGAAAGTCAGAGCATAAGAGTAAAATGGGAATGATTTTAAATATTGAAGAGAACAGCAAAGAACACAACATCATACTCTATGTAGATGACCTGTTGTTATATTCAAAAGAGTCAAAAAGTTCATCACTGGGAATGTTTGAGATTTTTTACATAAAAAAATATCACTTCACATCAATTACCTTTGTTAAATGCTACCAAAAGCACAAATTGATTCAGATGTTTTCAGTAACAACTTAATTTTTTAATAACATTCTTGAACTTTCTCATTCTTCTGATCTGTTTCAGGCTACAATGCATGGCGCAAGTTCTGTGGTCTGTCCCAGCCAAGGAACCAGGCCCAGCTGGCTCAGGTTTTAGGGAATGCTGAGCTGGCTCGTAAGCTGCTTCAACTCTACGGGACCCCTGAAAACATTGACGTTTGGCTTGGAGGTGTCGCAGAGCCATTTGTGCCAGGCGGCCGTGTGGGGCCTCTTTTCGCCTGCCTCATTGCAACTCAATTCCAGAAGATCCGTCAGGGTGACAGGTCAGTATATCAGTGTATGACTCAGTGTAAGGACAAGTTGGAAATAATACAATCAAATGGGATAATTGATTAACATTTGTAAACATTTCAGACTTTGGCACCAGAACCCCGGCGTTTTTACAACAAGGCAGAGGCAGGCTTTGTCCGCTGTTACGCTCTCCAGAGTCATCTGTGACAACACCGGCATCACATCCGTGCCTGCTGATGCTTTCAGCATCATCTCAAGTAGAAACCGTTTGGTGCAGTGCTCCGGTCTGCGTCGCCTGGACCTGTCGGCATGGAGGGAGACATCCTGTGGCTTCGGTGAGATAAGCAGCTTTTTCATCCCGCAGAGAAACATTTTCATATACTTGATATATACATGATGCGTGTTTTATTTTTTCTACAATCATCTGTATAAAAGCATATTGTTTTACTTTAATGTTACAGCATCTTCAGCTAATTGCCTAAAAGCCAGTGACGGAGAGGTCAGTTTCACCTTTATTATAATATAACCCGTAATTTAAAATAATGATGGGAAATTTTAGAATAATTTTTTGTATAATTTTAAAGCTGGGCACAGCCCAGACAGATGATCATAACATGCCTTAACATAAATACCCTGTATACCTTCAGGGCCCCCTGGACCTTCAGGACCCTCAAGATCTGCAAGACCCCAATGAACTTGAGACCAATGAGGTAGTTTACTCTGTGTAACAGAAACACTATGTCATCTTTTTTGATGAGATCCTGTGTTTGGTGTTAATATTTAATCTAAATTCCCATTTTTAGACAGATTTTCTAAAGACAGGAGGGTAGTACTATATATTACTATTATGACTATTACAATTTTTTTATGTATTTATTACTTTTTTCAAGGCTGCACTTTAAAAAATGAATTTTTATAGCGCTGTTTTAGACAAAATTTGTTTTGTATACACTGGTTTATACAAAATGACAAAATAAATCTAAGTCTAAGTAATTTATATATTTCTCCTCAGATCCAGTAAAACCATACAGCCCCTAAGGTCATCGTCATACAGCTGCAGTCGGTTCTTCCTGGGTGTCCTGGAAATGTGACCCATCCTCAGAGAGATAAATAAAGATAAACAACAAGCAGAACCAGACAGCACTCAAAAAAAAACTGTTTGTTATTCAGATATTCTTCATTTCTTCTTCTATTGGAGCAGAAAGTTGGCACAACAATTAACATTTTCAATCTGGCCATCTTCTCTGAATATTCACTCTTGGCTGCTGAACACAAACGCACCGTTTTCAGGCTGTACTGCAATTTTAAAATCCACCTGTGACCTGTAGGCTTTGATACCTGGTTTACATCCCTTAACCTGTCTAAGAAAAACTCAACTGTATCCTCATTTTACTCTTCACTGTTTTGTTTGATTTATGATTGATAGTAATTAGTTTTAATTCACCAAATCTATTTAACTCTGTTACAGCTTACAGTGACAAAAATGCATTTTGTCAGTTTCAATGGGATTAAAAAGTATTGAATTACAAATATTTTATGCACTGATTGTTTACAAACTAATAATTGTATAAGTTATGCTTGTCTGCAAGATTTCCTTTGTTTTACTTTATTGTCATATATTGAATGTTGCATTCAATAAAGCAATTGCGCAATCACAGTATTGTTGAATCTTTATTATTGTTGATTTGTTGCAAAAGTGAAAAAAAAAATGCTTTAAAAAGTAGAAATAGCAGGGTAATTCCTAAAAGAGCAAACATTAAGAAAAAATTAACTCTACTTGGGCAGTGGTGAACAAGGATGGACACAGGCATCATGCACAGAGGTTATGCCAGAGGTTCACTGGTGGAGAAATCTGGCAAATTTCCTGTGTGATTATGCTCCAAAAAAATCTAAAAGTGAATAAAATATGAGTCATTTTACATATTTGATTCACAATATTCCACCAAAATAAAAATTAAAACAAGATAAATGATATTAATTTTGACTTTTATTTACTTATTTTTTTTACAAAGTAAAAAGAAACCCAACAAAATGAAGTAAAAAAGATAAGATGTTACTTTAATATTCAAAATAGGTACTCATTTATCAAAGCTTTTCAAATCATAAATACATTTTTCATCACAATCTTTGTAGTGTTTTTCTTACTAAACATTTGCAGTTACTCCGCATCCTAAACTTGTGCAATGTTTAACGTCCGTTGATATTAATTTTAAAGGAATAGTAAACCCAAAACATGATTAGCCTTCATTTTCTACTCACCCCCATGCTGAACAACACTCTGGAGTACTTTTTTGATATCTCAAATGCATCTGGAGATCTGGGAGGCTTCTTGCTGTCTGCTGACATTCAAATAATGGAGGTCTATGGTGCCCGAGACAGAAAGGTCCATAAAAGTCCACAAAAAACGTGTCAATATTCCTCCATACTGCTCGTCCAAGGTATTCCAAGTGTCCTGAGTGGGTAGCATCCAGAATTTACTCGAAACTAAGTCATTTAGAATGTTTTTAGAGCATAAACAGTAGTGTATAGGATTTCCTGAAAGCGCGCACATGCGCGTTCACGACGCTACGGAAGCCGGCAGACCAAACCAGATGAAAGTGCGCATTCAGCGTCTGCTTTGCCAATAATGCAAGCGTAGAAGAAGAAATGTGCTGTTTACCTGTGCAAAGAAAGGAACAACGAAAGAAAAATGTCTGAGGACTTCAGTGTTGAGGAAGAGCATGAGTTCTTTGCCGAGCTGAATGCGCTGGTTTGGTCTGCCGGCTTCCGTAGCGTCATGAACTCGCCGGGGCGCGCTTTCAGGAAATCCTATACACTACTGTTTATGCTCTAAAAACATTCTATATGACTTAGTTTCGAGTAAATTCTGGATGCTACCCACTCAGGACACTTGGAATACATTGGACGAGCAGTATGGAGGAATATTGACACGTTTTTTGTGGACTTTTATGGACCTGTCTCGGACACCATAGACCTCCATTATTTGAATGTCAGCAGACAGCAAGAAGCCTCCCAGATCTCCAGATGCATTTGAGATATCAAAAAAGTACTCCAGAGTGTTGTTCAGCATGGGGGTGAGTAGAAAATGAAGGCTAATCATGTTTTGGGTGTACTATTCCTTTAAGTAAGAGAACATTTTAGTGTCCAACAGAGGGAGCCAATGTTCCTCCTCAAACAAAATATTTATCTGTTGCCACATTTCAAAATGCCATCCAAGTCCTCACTCCTGTCACTTTTAGTTACACAATTCATCTTCCAGTATAGTACAAAATATTTCTTCTATGATGAAAAATTTAATAATAAATATAAAATCTGTCACTACAGCAATCAGGAAAAAATGTCTCATTTACTTTTGTCTTTGTCTCTAAATCATTTATAAGCCACATTTATTCCAGCCCAAAGTCCCACACTAGGACTCACACCTGGGTGAAGCTTGGATTTCCAGACCACCTGGACTGCATGTGTTTGAAAAATGGATGAAAACAGTGGTGAGTTCAGTGTAAGCAGGGGTCAACATGGGAGTAAATATGCAATTGTTACACAAGAGAGAGGGTAAGGGAGGTTAAAGCAAATTTTTCCTCACTGAGAATTGCATATTCAACAAGTAAACTAGTAAAATTTGAATTTGATGGGATCCTTTCTGATATCACTTTGTGTTTAAGGAATCTGCGATGAAGTGTTCCCTGCTCTCATTCAATTAAAATATGACCATAATATTGACATTTCCTATTTTGTTGGATTTCTTTTTACTTCAAGAGACTGGTAACCAACATAATATACATAAAAACATCTGAATATAAACATAAATCCAGAGCTCTATCTTTTCACAAGAATTTATAAGCAATATTTTGTCTTCTGTTTCATTAATAACTGGGAACTCTGCCTGCATCTCAGTGGATGTGGGTTCAACAGGAGGAGGAATGACCCCCACAATGACTCACGATAAAGTGCTCCACCTACTGCCTTTTGGTTGAGGAAAACACAGTGCATGTGTAGTTTGCCACGTAGTCCACCAGACTGTGTGTATGTGTATCTTTATGCGTTATTCAAGCACAAGCCTGTGAACTCAAACACTAATGGGTACCTATTACTAATACCACAGGAGAAAGTATCTAAATGATCTGTTTTTTCCATAGATCATTAGCTGAAGTGCTGCAGGGTAAAAGTTTCACTTTCAGTGGTTATAACCTAGAGGTGGTTAAAGATCAAATTTGGTAAAGACTACAGAAAGTACCTTTTTTAAATAGCTACTAAATTTTAAAGAAGTTATTTTGGCCCCATTTAATGGGGAGAAAACAATGTGGTTTTCCAAGTTACTTAGTAAATCTTTTAGAATACTTTCTTTGAATACAAAACTAGTGAAACTCTAATTAACACACATCAATGTTAGGAAGTATAAAAAAAAACTTTAAAATGAACTTACATTTATAAGATTAATTCACAAAGTAACTATGAAATCAAAGAATCTTATTTTTTTCATGCATACAACCTGGTTTGTCTCCAGTCTGTATATTAAACCTTTTACACAGAGAGCCAGTTGTGTCTTTTACAGTGAATAGATGGCTGAAGAAGCCTGGAGGACTGATTCAGCTTTATTGTGAGGAAAGAATTTTGTTCTGCTCATAGGGAGGACACTGACAGCATCACACACAGCCTCAAGGACTACATTTACCTCTATGTGGAAAATACAGCCTGTAGGTATAATCTTAGGTGAAACCACCAGGAGCCCATTGAATTGGTTTCATAAAGTCAGGATCACATTGTTTTAAAGCTGCCAGATAACTGGAAATCTGTCCGGAGTTATACTGCTACTGATTAGCACTGGAAAGGATTTTGTAAGGTCAGTTGACATGGAGAGAACGTCATCTGCATAGAGCAATTTTTTGTCATGTGGTTCCTATCGACATTGTAATAACTCTCACTGTGGGAAACAGTATTCAAGGCGAGACAGACAGTGGGATAGCGTTTAGTAGTAATGAATTAAGAAGAGTTTATGAGTAACTTAGTGCTGTGGATCCACGGAATCAGCGGCTCGGTGGGGCGCTGCCCATCACTGGAAACTCTGGGTAGAGAAAAACACAGATTAGGGACCATGATAATCTCACGGAGAATGATTATCTATAGCATGAGTCACTAACCTGGTTTAAAACAGTTCAGTCCATCTCTATAGAATGAGGTAGGATCCAGCCGGTGGGCTGCCAAGGATATGCAGCGAGCACCACCCAGAGTGTCCAAGATTCTGCAGCATCTTGGACACTCAACAAGCAAGAGTCCGAGGAAGGTCAGGGAAACGGATCAGAACAGGAACAGGCTGGTTCAGGGTTCCAGTAGTCCACAGATAGTTCAGGCAGAATGTTCAGATGGGAACAGGCACGCTCAGCTCATAAGAGGCAGATCAGGATTACAAGTCAGGAACACTACGGAAAGCTAAAAACCCTATCTTCTGTTGCCCCCGAGAACGAGCACTAGAGCAAGAGCAATAATCTGGTCCTAATGGCTGGGACTGAGCTGTATAAATAGAAGCAGTGTCATGAGTGGTTTAAGTGATCTGACCCACATGTGGAGAACCACTCAGAGACCAAGGGAAAAAGTTTAACAGGTTTATTAAATGTAGATAAATAACAGAAGTTGGATCTGAAACTCGGTGGACTGGTGAACTGGAACTGGAAAGTCTGAAGGGGAGATCACAGTGATCTCCCCTTCAGAGGTACTCACGTTTGAGGGGGCTCTTGTCAATCCTTGAATCCAGCTTGTGGGGGTTAATTCAGAGAAGAGGGGACTCCTTGGAGGGCGGACAGATAGACAAGCGTTGGACCCACAGAAGTAAAGGAGTGGACTGTCCCTTGGATTTCCAATGAGGACTTGAACGGGTCATGTGAAGGTTTTCCCCTGCTCAGTGTGTACTCAGTTAATCCTTCCAGGCGGAGAAGGTCCAGGTATCCAGTTACTCAGGAAGGCTTCCTGCCGAAGAGCAAAGACAAAAACTAGATAAGACTTAGAGAAACAAAGCTTAGGTTAGATTCTGCTAATCTTAGCTTGGCTAGAGTACTCAAAACTGGCAAAGACTCTGGCGTCGAGGTAGTGACAGCCCACTGCTCAAATACTCCTCCAGTAATGATCCAACAAGCTGCAGGTGTGCAGGGAGGCCCAACAAGGACAGGGAACCACCTGGTTGTGGAGAGAGAAAAACACACAAACAACCCACACAAACTGGATTCCTAACAATCAGCAGCAGGTGGATTAGATGAGCAGTAATGAACAACCAGCCAGAGTAAGACAGGTGAATGGAGTGAGCAATTAGGTCAGCCATCAGTGCCAAGATCATGACAGACATCCTTTAATATTTGGGTTCTGACAGACAGTTATTGCCAAAAGCTTAATTAATAAAAAGAACATGAATAACAAAGAGCTTCTAGGTTTTACAGTTCTAAACTGTCCTACTTTTCACACATTTCTTTGAATCTAAGAATGCTTTATTTAAGAATTTCACTTTATTTATTTTTTTATTTTGTAAATTTTCCCTTGTCATAGTCTCTTATTCTTACTGTGGATATTTTTACTTTCTTAAATATCTGTGTGTTTAGGCCTACTGAAAAGAATGACCTCCTACCCTGTCTGTAGTCTTTTTATGTTGAACCTTTTTTTCCCATTAACTCT